AATAAATAAATAAATAAATAAATAAATAAAACAAACCAAGGATATTCATTATGAAAGCAGAATTTAAATTTTAAAATTCAGGCTTTCCAGATGTTCGTATGGGTAGTCTCATTATACTAACATTAATTCTTAATTTCCTTAAAAGAATTAGGACCCATAGATACTAAGACAATGAACAGTTTATTTTGCACTAACCTAATAGTCATTCCAGAATTTAAATCCTGTGCATTCTAGTTCAGAAGATTTGTGTGATAATCAACCTAATAGCTTGCTTATTTATCTTAATTTTCCAGGTGTTCTCATGTGGGAAGTGTTTACTGAAGGCAAAATGCCATTTGAGACAAATACAAACTATGAAGTGGTAACTATGATTAGCCAAGGACATCGTCTGTTTCGGCCAAAGTTAGCTTCAAAGAGTGTTTACGATTTGATGATGATGTGCTGGCATGAGGTATGCTACTTTATGTTACTGTCATCCCTGCACTTCAGTATGGCTGTGACAGCTGCACTATGAATTAAGAAGTGTAAGGAGTTGGGAGGGTGAAATGTCACATATTCTGTAGGATTTCTGAATGTAAAACTGTCTTTACAATTAAGGATATCGAAGAACTGCTGAAGCAGAAAGGCAACAAGAGAAAAGCAGGGAGTAAGGGAGTTGGGGAGACAAATAGGTATGCTTTACAAGTTGAAGGGCAGAACATGTTGAAAGAAAGTGAGAAATCTAGTTGAGACTGAAGAGTGGGCATTAGATGATTCCTCAATTGTGTAAATGAGCAATCCATACTTTATGGAAACACTCATCCATGGAGTCATGAGTAATACATTTTTCTCTCAATACAACTGCTACCAACATTACTGTCTTCTTTCCCTCCCCCAGTCTCACTTAGTCCCCAGACCTGTACCATGAACTTGTGCCTTAACTATTATACTCCACAAATCTGAGGAAGTGGGTTGAAATTCATGAAAAACACATTGAAATAAATCTGAAATAGTCTTTAAATTGTCTCTTGTTTTCATTTGTGTTATACATGGTTTTTTTATTTTATTTTAATGAAGCAATAAACTGTGTTGGGGGGGATCCTCTGCCTACTGTTAGGTTCTGCCTGCTATGTTACAAAAACCTCTTAATAGGAATGTACATAGTGACAATACATTTTTGTTTTTACATTTCTAGAAACCAGAGGGACGTCCTACATTTCATGAGCTGCTGCAAATGATTGATGCTATAGCAGAGGACACTTCTGCTTGAGAAGGCAAAGTGAACGTGCAGATGTTCACAGTGAATGAAATGAGTTTCAGAGAAGCTATGGTAGTCTTACTCAAGAACATAATCCTGGATGTTGCTTAAAAGGACCACACTTTCAAGGCAATTGTGAATACTATTTTCTCATTGCAAGGAAAGGCAACATTTTATCAAGACACACATAGTTTGCTGTGCCTTTTAAGTAACAGTGTCTATGAATTGGACGTTGCTGAAGGTTGTAAAGGTGAAAAATGCATCTGTGGCTGGATGAAAGGATACAAGGAGCTGCCTGTTAAGCCCTGAATCACAACATATCGAAGAACAACATTAATGCCTTGCTTGGAATCCCAGTGTCACAGCAGTAGTTCTGATGTCCTCACAAACCAGTTTATCACAATATATGATGCTAGCTTGTGGGTTTTGTTGCTTTAATAGGGGCCACTGCAGCACCTATTAACCACTAACTCGGAGCTTCTTCATCTCATGTTAATGACTGTACTTTTTATCATCTGTTGTAGAAAACTTGTAACTAGAGATTGACAAACGTAGGGCTAGTCATATTAAGATCGCTAGATGGTCAGTGCATTCTTGTAGCATTTATCTGATTGAGAAACAAGAAGGATAGGTAAAGTTTCCCCTCGACATCTAGTCCAGTCTTGTCTGACTCTAGGGCGTGGTGCTCATGCCCGTTTCCAAGCCACAGAGCCAGCGTTTGTCCGAAGACAGTTTCCATGGTCACATGGCCAGCACGACTAGACACGGAATGCTGTTACCTTCCCACCGAGGTGGCACCTATTTATCTACTTGCATTTTTACATGCTTCCAAACTGCTAGGTTGGCAGGAGCTGGGACAAGCGATGGGAGCTCACTCTGTCGTGTGGATTTGATCTTATGACTGCTGGTCTTCCACCCTTGCAGCACAGAGGCTTTTGCGGTTTAACCCGTAGCGCCACCATGTCCCTGGTGGATAGAACTTGTTAAATGAGTATGTTGTGCAAGTGGGTAATTGGATGCTATTGTCCAAAGGAGACCTGTGTTCAAATGTCTGCTTAGTCGTGAAATTTATCAGAGCAGGGATCTGTGGGCCAATTACAATCTTTCAGCCTAACCTGTCTCATGAGTAGGAGGAAATGGGTGGAATAAAAATGTAATAAATTTCTAAAGAGCTGGAAGCTGCTGTAACGTGCTCTTAGCCTGTGGCTTAGAGTATTAATAAATAATAACGCAAGCAAACTTAACAATGGATTTTAAAACAAAGCAGTCATAATAAACAAGTTGTAAATAATACAGTGTATATACTTTAAGTGTATATATTGCACATATATATTTATATGGAGTGGAAAGATCTGAAAGCACAGCTGATGAAATCCCTCCCATATGTTAACTTTCAATTTGACATGCAGCACCTCTGCATTTCAAATACTGTGTGGTGTGTATCCTCTTTAACATGTAGCAGAAAAAAGAACAAGTATACCCTGGTCTTTGCATTAAACAAAAGATGCTCTTTGATCAGTTTGTTCTAACTCTGCAGCTGTTAACACGCTTCACAGCCTTAATAATAAAATATTGCTGCCCAGAGTAGAACTTTGGTCTAGATGTGCGGGACAGAAGTCAAATAAATAAATAAAAAACAAAAGGTGCCTAATAAAGATTGTACATGTTGCTTGAAATCCTAATAAATGTCATTCCATTGGTGAGAAAACTAAAACTTAACCCTCCTTACTTAAAGTTCCATGAGACATTCTGCTGCTCCAGTCTACTCTATTAGGGAAAATCTTGTATTACAAAAGATCTTGTATTACAAAATCTTGTATTACTTATAGGGTCAGCCACTTGTCCATTAACAGCCCATGCCACTGTAGGTGGAACAAGGAGGCAACTCCAGAAAATACTTGGATGCAGTTTTCTTTTGAGTAAATCACTAAACAAATATAGAGATGATGTGTCAGTTCTGTAAGGAATGTGTTCTTTCACTGGATATTGTGTATATTCTGCACTAAATATACTCTATACAGTATTAACTGTTAATGTAAGCCATATATGGCACTTACATGAATTCGAAGTAGAGCCATTTTGATTGGCATGGTCTATATTTTTTTAGAATTCTACTTTTTCAAGATTTTTGCTAGCTGCCTGATGGACAGCAAAGGGACACCATCACCTTTCATTCAGTTATTTGTGTTCATGATATTACTTAGCCATTACTTAGAGCTGGAAGACTTATTACTTGCTCTCATCTAAATCAGAACTGAACCTTGGAGGTTTTTACATTTATCATCGATTTAACTTGGAATCTGGAAGCTTACTCAGATGGGCTATTGAAAGACGTTCCCTAACACAAGAAGGAGGACAAGACAGGTAACCCTTACTTGTCAATTTATTGAACAATATGTCTTTGGTTCTGAGAGCCAAGAGAAGGAGGACCAGCCCCTCCAAAGACCATAAAAAAGGGAAAGCTATTAAGAAGCCAAAAAAACAGCGGCAGGAGCCGGCTGTGCAATCTCACATTGACTCGTTTCTGCAGCCGCCTCAAGAGCCTCAAGAGCCGTCCTCATCTGCCCAAGCTCCAACGCCGCCGAGCCTTTTGCTTCCTCGTGAGGCAAGCAATTCTCCCCCGGACTTAATGGGCTTATCGGCTGCTAAAGACACTCCTTTAAACACCTCCCTTGCCTCTGAGGAGGGTGGTTCTGGCTCTGGCCAATTTCCAAAAGACAAGGAAGGACTGAATGACCATTTTCTATCCTTTCTGCGCGAATATCTGGCTGCATCTAACACTCCATCATGGCCGCAGGGCCCCCTTGCGGATACTTCCCTGTCTCTGGAGCAAAAGTTGGGGGACTCATGCTTGATTGCAGCCCGTGCTTTTTTAGTATTACTGGAAAGGCTGTGCTCAATTGAAAAGCAAATCGCCTCAATTCAAACACACGCGGCGAAAATGGCCGGAGACCAGAGCTCACACCCCTCTGGTGGCGACTTCCGGAAGAGCACTCACTCGGCTGCTAACCTATGCTCCCAAACCAACACTGCCAGCCTCCTTGAACCTCTAAATGCCAGA